GTCAATTTTCAAATATTTGCCGGGACGTGATCCCGGCGATTACAATGCCCTTCAAATATTCTTATAACTAATGTAAACATTTAAAATGTAACTTATATTTATTCATTCATACCCAAACATTTCAAAATCCAACTCATAAACTCGCCTTAAATCCGCTCGAAGTTCGTCAGATAAAGTTGACATGTATTTTTTCAGGGTTCCAATAACCGATGAGTTAGTCACGTGGTTATTAATTTTTGCTGGTGGAAAAGTTATAATCTTATCCGCACCCGTTTTTCCTAGTATGTAGTTTGCGTCTCGCGCCAACGTCTCGTATTTGCCGATGTAATCGAACGGCATCATGCAAGGTAGACTGAGTTTATGAATACGTTCCCAATGCATATCCATGTTGACACTTGTGTTGTTGGCTTGGTGCACAATGTATGCCACTAGATCCGCGAACGTTATGTTATGGATTCGGTTCTTTTCTATATTTGTGACGACCGTCTGATTCTTCCAGTTCAGTATTTTGGCAGCGATAGTTTCCAGATAGAGCCACTCTTTGTGCTCAATGCCTAGCTCAAATTTATCCTTGTAAGCTGAGAGCACGCGCTCAAATGGGTGTCGAACAAAAAGAAACTTCGTGTAGGTTTTCAAACGATGGATTCTCTCGTCTTTACGAAAAGAATTTAGTTGGCGATGTTTCTTAGCGTATTCGTTGTAGTGTCCCCTGCCGACATCAGTTGCGTTTTCGACGTCACCGGCCAAGACCATTAAAACTCGCCTCCAATTTGCCGTAGCAACCTTATGGATAGGGCAATACAACATTCTATATGTGTCGTCCACGTACAAGCGAATACGGAGGGACGCATTGTTCCATATTTGAGGGTTGTCGGAAATGCTCATTCCTAGCTTTGCGCAGACTCCGTGAAGTCTTTGCCGTCTTTCTTCGAGTTCGTCTTCGACGGATTTGAACTTGACCGGTATCGGACGTGATACGTCTGCGGTGGCAAATGCCTGGGAATACAAACAAACACAATACACCAGTTTTGTTTAGGTCACTATAACTCAGGTATGTCAAGATGCGAAATCGAAATACTAAAAGTTATACTTTTGACAGAATACAAGTATATTTAAAGTATACGGTGATGATGTAGCAATTATACAGCGAACAGTTATAACTGCTCCCTGTCTAAGCAGCTTGAAATGAAACACTGGTATAAAATGTTCTTACCTCGAATTCACCTGGAAAACCATTACCCGTAGATAGTTCATTTGTTGAAACTCTGAGATTGATTCTACTATCTGTAATTCAAGGTAAAACACTGGCACATGTAGCGTACATACGGTAAAGTGTGATTTTCTATATACACAATAATATGGTAGGTAATTTGATATCCTGAAAAAGTCGAGCCACTGTAAACAAAGTGGTTTGGAAGCTTGAAAGTTGGAAGCTACTATTTTAACACACTTCAGAAATTTTCTGAAATGTTGTAGCTTTGAATTGTGATTAGTGTGTATTTTCCAATTATCTATTCAAATTAGTCACTCCAGCACAAAATATCACCTTATTAAGTGTAACCACAATAAATAAAATGGGGTGGTGGCAAATTGGAAACAAAACTTACCTCTGATGTAAGACAAGATGTAATAATACAACAAACACAAAGGAGATGACAACGCCGCACCGGGTTAAGTACTCGTGTAATCTTCAGATACGAGTATACGTGCATATTGAATCGCATGCACAACTGATGATAAAACATAATCATAAACAAAGAAACGTATTATCCTCAATATATAAGGTGGGTAAAATGTAGCCTTGGTAATTTGAGAATAAAGAGTGTGAATGGAGTGGCGGAAAATGTTACAATATTTAAAAAAAAGGAAACTGACAAAACTCAATCTCCTTAAGGTAGAAGCCTAGTCATAATTTCTGACAAAATTGGTCATAAATCGCATAACAATGTTCATTAGTTTATTATGTACAATCATGAAGCTAATGTCCCATGGTACAACTAAATAGCATTATTTTGTGTGTTACAGTTAAGATTTTTGAAAAACGTGTCCTAATATTTCTTGAAAATTGCTATTTTTAGAACAATTCCATAGAACACAATGTTAAAGAAAAATTGCATTTTTTGACACTTTTTAAAACCCAGATTTTTTAAATAATTCAGAACAACAAAATGTACTCCATCATTAAAAATATATGATTTTTTCAGCCTATGTCACCAGGCTAGATTTTGAGATATTGCATAATATCTCTGCCATAGGAACCCGTGGTAAAAGTGTTATAATAGTGTCAAAATGTCGACTTTCCACTAAAATACAACCATCAATTTCTCGAAAAAAAGGCTGGTGACCCCCAACTTTTTTAAGGTCAATATCCTTATATTGCCGTGGAGTACAATTTATTGCAAAATGAATAAATTCTGGGTTTTTTTAATTTATGAGTAGGCTTCTACCTTAATATGATTATTTTCAGGATTACCATAATGGTTTCAATTAATAAGCAAGTGGTTAAAAAGCTCGATTCCCCTGGAATCTCTTACTGATGCTAATTCAATCATTAAATCTGTTTGAGTTCCAACTTTTATCACTATGCCGAGTGCCCATAGTGCACAGCGTGTGTGTATTTGTTTCATTACTTTCATCGACGGGGGCGCCATTTTATTATGAATTGATCCTTATATTTGATATTCAAATTCATTTAAAGCAAAATACATTCACATTATCTGTCGTAAATTTTTAACAATTTACCTGTATCGCATTTTACCGATAATGAGAAGAGCTGGTAGTGAGAAAAATAAGTAGGTTTCCAAACAATTTATATATGTAATCACATATATTCATATCTTTAAACAAACTTGTCATGCTAGTGGTAAAATGATTAAAACATTTACCTTTGGTCCAAATCGGCGAACACTTGATATTAATATATTCATGATGAAAGGACATTTGCAGAAAGTTTGCGTGTTAATATACAGCTGCCAAGACAACCTTTTTTAACCTATAATCAATATTGTTCCCATTATTCGAATGTCTGTATATCCATGTTTGCATGTATGTTATTACGTACGCTATGTCTGTGTAGGATAGCGTAACTCATTGAACGACATAAATGTATTCACTGATACCGCAAGCACAACCACCTACCACATACTAGTATATTGGTGCTTATTCGAACAACGTTGAAAGTTATGCATTTCAGCCGGTATTATCCGATATTTTAGATCTCGTCTGGAGAGATGTTGGTGGCTGCATTGTGCCAATATATCGTCATTGCGTGTGCCATGTAACGTATAAACCGCACAATATGTTATTTGCATTTGTGGGACCGTTTACGTGGAAGCACTTGCGGTGAAAAATTAAACAAAGCTAAATACCTCGCTTCGGCACAGCCACAGGCGTATGCAACGTGGACGACAACTCTACATCAAACAAAAAATGAATTCATGTACTTACATGCATGTACCTAACACGTTGAACTCCAAGCGATATTAATGATTTGAACGTTGTGACTGATCGATAAACTATCGTTCTGCCTTTGAGCATATGCGTCACGTGATGCAATATTGACTGGCACATTTGTCAGATCGTCCGTATTTTATACAGTGAATTAACCTGTGATTTGAAAATGGAAATATAAATACGCAAGTCATTGGGATTCTAATATTTCAACAGCTTCTTTCATATTTCGCAGTGTGTGGCAGCTCGCGCTAATTTCGACGGTAAGGGCATTGTCACATACACCAATATACTACGATCCAGGATTAATTTTTATGCGAGATTTGAGCGAATTTAGCTCCCTTATACTTGCCTGTAATATACAAAGTTGTCGTAATACACAATAAACTATATATATATATATATATATATATATCGGAATTGTTTACACATGTTTATTGCGCATAATCATACAACTTTGCATAGCTGTTCTATGTTATAATTCATGCCGAGGCCGAGTCTACTATATTTACTTGTAATACGTGCGATATTATTCAGTTAAACTGTTTAATTTCTGGAGGACCCCCTGATGGTTACAAAACAGGCTATATATTGTTGGAATACCGTTGACAATCCCTGTTCTGATGGAAAACCAATTAATGAGTATAACCTTCACATCGATGTCTGCTTTGTATGAGTCTTTGTTTGGTGCACTTTGCTCATTTATAAATATTAATGTGGGATCGACAGAATAACGTGTTTGTTAGTAATGGCATGTTACAGTAGTTGTTTACTCCTTGTTGCTAGGTAGTTACAATTTATATGATCATCATGCTACATAATTCTCTTGTATTTTAAAAATGGTTCCCAATCTGGCAGGCTGGGAAATCTCTTGTTATAGTAACAGCATATAGCTATATTGTATTGTATTTAGCTTGATTTGGTGGATGAAAGTGACAGTTAGATGGCAGTGGCGAGTGACATTAATTTACTTGGGTTTGTATTTTCTGAACACAATGTAAATATGTATTTTAACGCGCAGGCAATAATATAAATGTGTCAATCTTATAATTGTGGTATTTTGACCCAATGGGACATTGTTCCAGATCAATGGTATCTAATGGAATAGATAAGAATTTAAGGATTCTTGTTTCTCATTTCGAATAATAGAAGTTCATGTGAAACAAAGTCTGATACTTGATCTTGCACAGTAATATATTCTGCACATACTGAAACTTCTATAAATAATATGTAATAGGTAAAATACATCTATACTTTAAAAAATAAAGAAAATATGATCATTTATAACTTGTTTCGAGTACAATATCCTGATATTATGTG